TATTTAATACTATTTTTATAATATTATATACATAAATATAATAATAAATTAAACTGACATCATGCATGACGTTACGATTCATAATTAAAAATTTTCACTATAATATCATCGTGCGAGACAAAAGTATCATCAAATTGCATTATGTTTTAATTCATAACCACTACACATGTTAAAATTGAAAACCCAACACCAAAACTTAGAAAGTTAAGCATTTACTCTCTCTCTCTCTAATTAATCAATATACTAAGAAATAATTAACCGTCAACCCAATACGAGAAGAGTTTTTTACTATTTATTGTAGGTTTGAAATTGTAGGAATTAGAATTTTGAGCACTCAATATTAAACTCCAAATCAAAATTTTCAAATTAATAATATCATCTTAATTAAATTCTTGTGAACATGTATAAAATGAAATTAAGAAAAAAAAAAACCCCATCCTCTCCATACCGGAGTTTCAATCCACGCGCCACTAAATGCGAGTGAGAGAGAGGAGTCCAGCAAGGGTTGAATAAACAAAGTCATGGGAAAGGATGTAAGGGGGCAACAGTGGCTTAGATTCGGTCGCTCGGAATCTGATTTGCTTTTCCTGCTTTTCTTTTGGGCCAAGATTGCTCTCGTGCGTTGGCGCATAAAGCGTTCGGCAAATGTGTCGATTTCTGATTGGTCCACGCTTGGGGCCTAACTAAGTTTATTGTTGCTTGGACCGTGGGGAGCAGGGTTATAACACCCCCAATCCGATGCTTTGTCTACATATTATAGGCCCCTATTAGTTCTTGTCAGTTTATTTTTACAGTTTTTCTTTTTTACATTTTTTTGTTTAGCAAAAAAAAAAAAAAAAAAAAAGATTAAGATTGAAAATTAAAATTTAAAATTAAAGAGGTAATATAAGTTATATTATTTAATATTTAACTTTTTATTTTTTGAAAGTTATAATATTATTATATTAATTAATTTAATAATATGACATAAATTATATCATTGATTTAAAATTTTTGTATTTCTTATCATTACTCAAAAAGAAAAAAATGTATTAATTTATTTTTTTAGAATGGTTTTTTAAAAATGTGGGTATAAATTAAAAATAT